TAATTATTATTATATTTCTGTGCAGTCAAAAAATTATATAAAAAGGCGTTCACTTTGTAGTTTTCAAATAATTTTTTACAATTATGTATCTCTTACTTAAATTTACCAAACAACAGTCTATCGACAGATCTGTTAACACCTCATAAAAACACCAGAATCCGCGTTAAAAATACTTTTCTGTGATATTTTAATCTAAAAGTAATGTGTTTCAGTTCAGATTAATTAAACTTTAAATCAGCTAATCTTCCTCAAATAGTTTCCGAAAAGTGTGTTTTATTTTGGAAATGTTTTTTAATAAAGAAAATTATGTTTTGTTATAAGATTTGTCAATATAGACGATTTTATATATTTCACTGATAATAAGAAAAAATAATTATCAGTTTAAATTCGGTTTGAAAATGCATCTTTTAATGCATTTTAAATCTTAGGTATCACATTTTTTTATAAATGGGATCAATATCCTAATGACTTTCTGCGGTGAATGGTAACTGGAGATTAAATTGGGCTTTACCAGAACGATCCTGAAGACAAAGTGCAGTCAAAACAATGATTATCCAAAGTTGAAATGGTTCTGGTCAAAGTAAAAGACTGTTAGGAGGAAAAATTATGACGACAATTTTCTTTTTCTGCGATGCTGAGAACATTTTGCTTGTTGACTTGTACAGGGAAAAAGAGTAACATGTGTTTATTACCAAAGTCTTTTGAAAAACAAAATTAGGAAAAAAGCACCATAGAAAGCTCCGTCAGAGAATGATTTTCCACCATGGCAATACCCCTACTTATTACTCTTGTTGGATTATCACACCTGACGATAATCACGGGCGGCACAACTTTTGACAGCCGTTTCCTCTGCTCGATTATTTTCGCTCCGATAGACTCAAGGCCAGTTAAGTACTTCAGAGGCATTGGCGAAGGTTGCTTTGTATTCTTCCTTATTTCAACTTCATTTCTTATATTACCATTCTGTAACATGTCTGTTTCATATATTTATTTTTTACTGTCTGATTGAATTTCACATTTTATTTTTATTTTTACCAGGGCTCATGTGACTCTGCAAATTATTGTTTGCAGAACAAATTCCATTTCTGCAACAAAAAGTGGTGACGCACTACGTGATATTCTCCTGGATATATATATATATATATATATATATATATATATATATATATATATATAAAAACACAGAAATATAAACTCAAATATCTATCATTTGAGCATTTTTCAAGAATGGAAGCCATAAATCTACTACCCTTCGTCTCTCTCTGTCAAACCTAAAAACAAAGTGATGAAAAATTCAAGTCATCAGCAGAAATTACCGGAACTTACGAAAAAACGCTGAAATATACCGACCATGTTGGAAACACATTTCAGTCACTCAACATTTTACCTTTAGACAAAGAAATTAAAAATAGAATAAAATGCACGCAACGTTTTCTACATGAAATGGGTCGCTCTAAATACATTTCAACAATGACAATGCGACAACACATGAAAAAGCTTGACCCACCACGTCGGAGCTTTTCACTAAACGAAAAATACACTGACTTTCTTCTAACAAGTTTGAAGTAACAACAGAAACATTATATCACAAGCACGGAGGCACAAAGCTCATTTTGTTTAAAATACCGTCTAAAATTCACAAAATAATTACGCAAACCATATGAAAAAGATGTCAGCAACACACAAGGTACCACTCAAACACAACAAAAATTAAAGTGCACAGTCTCTCTAAGGCTTAACTGAAATACATGTAGAATAACTCAACAACCGCTGACACAATGAAGCCAGCCGGTTTAAACATTCTGTGGCAAATTGTACAATATGTGGATCATCTTCGATGTTGTCAAAAATCCACAGAATTTCAGTTGCAAACGGGAGCAATTTGATTTTGAGTGTTAACCCAGTGGGGATAGAAAGTATACGTCTCCTAAGGAGTTAGTTTTCGGTCCTGATGGACTACGTATTTGCTATATAAAAAGGAGAAAATTCGGCTGCAAGGTCAGAAAGGATTGACCGTCTCAGGAGTGTAGAAGTTGTGATCTGGGACCAGAAAAGAAAAAATTCGACCACCGAGGCGAGAAAGAAAGGTTTGGCCGTCATATGCATTTAAAGACTACTTCGGTGAAAGTGATTGACCGGACTCAGGCGAGGTAAAGTGCTGTTATCTGGGATGAGAAAGACTACTACGACTGCAGCTGCAGTTGGTGCAGAAGAAGAAAGAAAAAGAATCTTATGAATCTGATATGTGAGATTTCTAAACCTGTGATAGTTTATCTCATATTTAAGAATATCTGTTCCAAACATCGGAATATTTTGTCTAAAAGACCAACCCAGGGAACCAGCTCCACATGAGGTAGGTCATCTTTTCTCATTCCATTCGACATTCTAAATTGTGAACTTTTCAAAGTAACTAAATTTCTTTAGGGAAATTTTGTGTAAAGCCTACAGTGTAATTTGTATAATTTGCATATCATAAAAATGTATGTTTCTTTGCAAATTTCACTCTTGCCTTTTCGTTAGCGCCTGTAAAACTATGAGAAGGATAAGAAAGCTGAAATATTATAAATAGGTTGCGGGACTCACCACGTTTGTTGCGAGATGTGGACATTTTTAGCAAATATTTATGGGCTCCTGCAAACAATACTGGCGGATACATGTGAGTCCAAGTAAAAATAAGAAACACAAAAACATAGAATTTAAACAAACAAGTATTAATAAATATATTAAATGTTACAAAAAGAAAAATGAGAAAATGCAGATAAAGTTTATGAAGAGTTCAAAACACCCTTCAGGCCCGACAAGATTGAGAAGAGAGACCGTCTTGTCGCTAGCAAAACTGAAAGGGAAAGACGAAGAACTTTTTAAATCTCAAATGGCGGTAATTCAATATCTTGTCTCCTGTGATTATCGTCAGTAGGCGTTATTCAAACAAATACACACTCCAAATTGAAAAAGATTCTCTTATGAAATCTGATTTGTAATATATGCTTCTACACATCGTGGCCACATGGACCACTTTTTGTTGCTGGAGGTATTAACACTTTTTGGGAGGGCATGTTGCCTATTGGTTTGCTTTTTTTGTGTTAGGTGTTTGGGTGATTTTTATTTCAATGTAGGCAGTTTTTAAGCGATCAATTGATACATTGTCTTTCTTTTACCTTTTTTTTTTTTGAATCGTGTAAAATTTTCGTGTCATTCCAACACCATATGTAGACCTGAATAATTTGAGAATAATGGTTTCTTAACTATGTCGATCCTGAGAAAAATATACTTGTCGTTATGTAGATCTGCAGGTATAAAATATTGTTTAGTTACACGTAGTGAGTGTAAAATAGAAAATATTTATCTTGTTTTTATTTTCTTGACAAAGTCCGTAGATGGAGGTCGATATTTTGTCTACCTCAACGTATTGACTAGGTAATGTCAGTGAGGCTCTAAAAATAATATCTTCTGGTGTGCAGTCTTCTTTTAGAGTATTGTGAATCGATAGAAGAGTAATAGGTTGGTTATCTACCCAAGTATGAGGGCCATTTTTTTTATAGCTAATGCAGTTTTTAGCTGCTTGTGAATTCTTTCCACAATATTGTCGGAACAAGGACAGTAAGCAGCAGTTCGAATATTTTTAGCTAAGAGTATGTTGACAAATTCCTGTAAGAATGTAAATTCAAACTGTGTCAATAGTAATCACAGATGGCACTCCATATTTCCAATTGTCCAGTATAAGTTTTGAAATAGTCTATGCGGAAGTATTTAGAATATGAAAAGCAACAAGCCATCGACTGAAACGATCCATTATGGTGAGCATATAGGTGAAACCATGTGCAATGGGAAGAGGTCCAACAATGTCGAGATGCAAATGAGTGAATCTATCATCAGGTCTCTGCAATTTAACAATCGACGATTTTGTATGTTTCCAGTGAAGGTGGTTGAAGATTTTCTTACATAACAATGGAGTTATATAAGGTCGAGGGTTACATTTTTTCATATCACATAAGAAAGTTGAATATCCAAAAAGATTGGGTAAGTTTTCATGTTGCAATGAAGTATTTTCCTTGACTTTTAAAAGAGTAGTGTTTTTCTTTTGTTTCTCGGCGATATTCTCGTAGTTTAAACTTTCCATATTTATTTAATGGATATGGTAGTAATTGAAAGTGCGTCTGCTACAAGATTTCCTCATCTTTTATATATCGTATGTCCTAAGTGAATTGTGAAATGTAATCTTGGTGTCTTATTTCACGTGGCGAATATTTGTTGAATTTGCTGTAGAGGGCATAACTGCTTATAGTCTGTGAATACCGTGAATTAAGGTCCTTCTAAAATATAGTGCAAATATCAGATAACTAAGTTTATGTCGAGGATAAGTTCTCTGGAAAATGTTCTGTATTTCCTCTGTGATAAATTTGGCTTTAGAAAGTAAAAGTAAATAGGTTTATTGTCTTCGTTAGTATTTTGCTGTAAGACGATGCCAATAGCATTCGATGTGACATCTGTTGTTGAAGTTAGTACAGCATTCTCATCATCACTGAGATCAGTTAGTTTTACGAAGTTTACCAAAGCTTTCTTTGCTTCTTGTAAACAATCTAAAGCAGGACATCTGAGGTAAAAACATTCACATTCTTTTTCTGGTTATTTTTAGTATGTGAGTTAATGGTGCTAATAATGATGAACAACGTAGCCTAAATCTTCGACGGTAATATATTATTTCAATTTATTATTATGTTAATGAACGTACAAATTTGTAGATTTTATTCTGGTTGTGGGAAATTTTGTATAGCAGATATCTTCTCAGGGAGAGATGATATTCCTGTTTCGTCAATTCGTATAGCAGCTATATTCTCCGGGAGAGATGATATTCCTGTTTCCTCAATTTGTATAGCAGCTATCTTCTCAGGGAGTGATGATATTCTTGTTTCCTCAATTTCGTGTAGCAGCTATCTTCTCAAGGAGAGATGATATTCCTGTTTCCACAATTCGCATAGCAGCTATCTTGTCAGGCAAAGATGATCTTCCTGTTTCTTCAATATCGTGTAGCAGCTATCTTCTCAGGGATAGATGATCTTCCTGTTTCCTCAATTTGTACAGCAGCAATCTTCTCAGGGAGAGATGATATTCCTGTTACCTCAATTTGTATAGCAGCTATCTTCTCAGGGAGAGATTATCTTCCTGTTTCCTTAATTTCGTGTAGCAGCTGTCTTCACAGGGAGAGATCATATTCATTTTTTCCTCAATTTGTATATCAGCTATCTTCTCAGGGAGAGATGATATTCCTTTTTTCCTCAATTTGTATATCAGCTATCTTCTCAGGGAGTGATGATATTCCTGTTACCTCAATTCGTATAGCAGCTATCTTTTCAGGGAGTGATGATATTCTTGTTTCCTCAATTTGTATAGCAGCTATCTTCTTAGTGAGTGATGATATTCCTGTTTCCTCAATTTGTATAGCAGCTATCTTCTCAAGGAGAGATGATATTACTGTTACCTCAATTTGTATAGCAGCTAACTTCTCAGGGAGAGATGATCTTCCTGTTTCCTCAATTTGTATAGCAGCTATCTTCTCAGGGAGTGATGATATTCCTGTTACCTCAATTTGTATGGCAGCTATCTTCTCAGGGAGTGATGATCTTCCTGTTACCTCAATTTGTATAGCAACTATCTTCTCAGGGATTGATGATATTCCTGTTTCCTCAATTTGTATAGCAGCTATCTTCTGAGGGAGAGATGATCTTCCTGTTTTCTCAATTTCGTGTAGCAGCTATCTTCTCAGGGAGAGATGATATTCCTTTTTTCCTCAATTCGTATAGCAGCTATCTTCTCAAGGAGTGATGATATACTTGTTTCCTCAATTTGTATAGCAGCTATCTTCTTAGGGAGTGATGATATTCCTGTTTCCTCAATTTGTATAGCAGCTATATACTCAGGGAGAGATGATATACCTGTTACCTCAATTAGTATAGCAGCTATCTTCCCAGGGAGAAATTATCTTCCTGTTTCCTCAATTTGTATAGCAGCTATCTTCTCAGGGAGAGATGATATTCCTGTTTCCTCAATTTCGTGTAGCAGGTATCTTCTCAGGGAGAGATGATATTCCTGTTTCCTCAAATTCGTGTAGCAGCTATCTTCTCGGGGAGAGATGATATTCCTGTTTTCTCAATTCGTATAGCAGCTATTTCTCCGGGAGAGATGATATTCCTGTTTTCTCAATTCGGATAGCAGCTATCTTCTCTGGGAGAGATGATCTTCCTGTTTCCTCAATTTCGTTTAGTAGTTATCTTCTCAAGGAGAGATGATATTCCTGTTTCCACAATTCGTATAGCAGCTATCTTCTCAGGGATAGATGATCTTCCTGTTTCCTCAATTTGTATAGCAGCTATCTTCTCAGGGAGAGATGATCTTCCTGTTTCCTCAATTTCGTGTAGCAGCTATCTTCTCAGGGAGAGATGATCTTCCTGTTTCCTCAATTTGTATAGCAGCTATCTTCTTAGTGAGTGATGATATTCCTGTTTCCTCAATTTGTATAGCAGCTATCTTCTCAGGGAGAGATGATATTACCGTTACCTCAATTTGTATAGCAGCTATCTTCTCAGGGAGAGATGATCTTCCTGTTTCCTCAATTTCGTGCAGCAGCTAACTCCCCAGGGAGAAATTATCTTCCTGTTTTCTCCATTTCGTGTAGCAGCTATCTTCTCAGGGAGAGATGATATTCCTGTTTTCTCAATTCGTAGAGCAGCTATCTTCTCAAGGAGAGATGATATTCCTGTTTCCACAATTCGTAGAGCAGTTATCTTCTCAGGGAGAGATGACCTTCCTGTTTCCTCAATTTCGTGTAGCAGCTATCTTCTCAAGGAGAGATGATATTCCTGTTTCCTCAATTTGTGTAGCAGCTATCTTCTCAGGGAGAGATGATATTCCTTTTTTCCTCAATTCGTATAGAAGCTATCTTCTCAGGGAGTGATGATATTCATGTTTCCTCAATTTGTATAGCAGCTATCTTCTTAGGGAGTGATGATATTCCTGTTTCCTCAATTTGTATAGCAGCTATCTTCTCAGGGAGAGATGATATTCCTGTTACCTCAATTTGTATAGCAGCTATCATCCCAGGGAGAAATTATCTTCCTGTTTCCTCAATTTGTATAGCAGCTATCTTCTCAGGGAGAGAAGAAATTCCTGTTTCCTCAATTTCGTGTAGCAGGTATCTTCTCAGGGAGAGATGATATTCCTGTTTCCTCAAATTCGTGTAGCAGCTATCTTCTCGGGGAGAGATGATATTCCTGTTTTCTCAATTCGTATAGCAGCTATTTCTCCGGGAGAGATGATATTCCTGTTTTCTCAATTCGGATAGCAGCTATCTTCTCTGGGAGAGATGATCTTCCTGTTTCCTCAATTTGTATAGCAGCTATCTTCTCAGGTAGAGATGATCTTCCTGCTTCCTCAATTTCGTGTAGCAGCTATCATCTCAGGGAGAGATGATCTTCCTGTTTCCTCAATTTGTATAGCAGCTATCTTCTGAGGGAGAGATGATCTTCCTGTTTTCTCAATTTCGTGTAGCAGCTATCTTCTCAGGGAGAGATGATATTCCTTTTTTCCTCAATTCGTATAGCAGCTATCTTCTCAAGGAGTGATGATATACTTGTTTCCTCAATTTGTATAGCAGCTATCTTCTTAGGGAGTGATGATATTGCTGTTTCCTCAATTTGTATAGCAGCTATCTTCTCAGGGAGAGATGATATTCCTTTTTTCCACAATTCGTATAGCAGCTATCTTCTCAGGGAGAGATGATATTCCTGTTTCCTCAATTTCGTGTAGCAGCTTATCTTCTCAGGGAGAGATGATCTTCCTGTGGCACCTTGCATTATTAGAAATATTCATAGAAATATGATTTAATTTTTTTTTACTCGGTTTACTAAACAGGTTGTTGATTTTTTTAAACGGAAAATAATTGAGTTGAAAATAATTCACTAAGATTGTACTTGACGATCCTAAGGGAAGAAGAAGGAAGGGGAAAAAGAGAGAGGTCGAGAAATACAAAAAAAAATCATTAACAAAAACACGAGTCAGAAAGATATCTTAGCTAGCATGTTGACCGAATTTTTAAAGACAATTGGAAGAATAGAATTAGAAATAATAAAAAAAAAGAAAGGAAAAAGACATGATATCAAAACGGGCCGCTTGATGAAAACCAGATATCGGTCAAAGCATCTAGCCTACTTTTTTGCGTAGAAAGACACCTTATCAATTTGGATAAAGGGAAATTTTGGGAACAATGAAAACGAAATCTTAATCAGAGAAAAAAGTGTTTTTGGGTTGAGGGGAGTGACCGGTGGAACGGTATACAGATTCTGACCTGTTAAAAATTAGAACCCCACATTGACGAGTGAAAGATGTTTTCAATTCAGATAAATTAAGATTTTCTGACTGCCGGGTCTGACAAAAAAGAAGAGGTGAAAAAACGATTGTCTCAGATCACAGATGGCGACAATATTCTTTCCTGAAGTCACAACTAATTAGCGGCGGGCTGGTTGACAGAGCCCAGGTGAGAGAAAAAGCCAAGATTGTCATTTTTCGTACGTGCAGAAAAAAGGCAAAATTGGATTTTGTTTTTTAAAAACAAGAACGATGTAACCACGCCCGAAAGGAGGAGAAAGGATGCTCGATCAATAACAATTGGTCGGAAACGGTCACGTGATCTGCAGAAAAGAAGAGAAAGAAATGCCCGATCAGGAACCATTGGTCGAAAAACGGTCACCTGACATACGAGAGACTAAGAGAGATGGGTGTGCACCTCCCCACAAAAGGCACTGTGAGGAAGTAGGGGTGAAAACAATAGCGATAATGAGAAATCAAAAATAATGCGACTTTTGGAATTATCGAGAAAACCCTGACGCCGACAGACCCACCCCAGTTTGTTGCGGCGTCAATAAAAGCAGGACCCCAGTCGACAGAAATCAGTTGGAGTTGGAGTTGAGAGTTGCAGCTGGACCGCGGGCAGGGATAGAGCCTGAACGCGGGCATCAGGCCCGATTCACTCGCCCCTTTGCAAGGCAAAAGAAGAAATCCTCAGACAAGAAATCCTTCCAGCCCAAGTCGAAGACAGAAGAGTTCAGCCCCAGGACGGCCCCGAGGCAGAGAAGAGATCACCTCGGACGACAGAGAGTTGCGGCTGAGTTGCGGCAAGAGATCCTTCCAGCCCAAGTCGAAGACAAGAGAACTTCCAGCCTAAGTCGACGAAGAAGAAGAAATACAACTCAAGTCGAAGAGAAGAATCAACTGCGAATGATCGATAGAAATTAGCCCCAGTGTCGAACCAAACCACACTCCGACATACACAATTCTAAAGAGTAGGCAATTCGAAATCTTTAGGTTGTGTGATAGAAGCTTGCCATATAGTCCACAGAGCGGGTCGGGAATTGAGAACAATTTTGTTTTTATGTAACGGACATTAAGATATAAAAGGTTGTTACCCATTTTTTTCATCAGCAATCTTTTTTTTTCTCGTGAGTTTATTTTCTTTTTTTATTTGTGTTTTGCCACCCCGTCGGACTCAACTTGTATCGGCCCCAATCCCTGCTGGTCCCGTCTGTCTAAGATCTAAACACAGCGTGGGTAGACAGACCGGAGATCGGTACAGTTGCTTTAGTGACCAGGTATTGGAAGCGAGTCGGGAAAGGCGAGGCTGGTGATCATCTGACCAAGGGGTTGGAGCGGCACGCTTGGACCCAGGAGGAGCGACCAGGGAGGAGCGACGTCACCGTTGGCGCCGTAACCAAAGGATCCGACCCTGGGCCAGGTGTGTAACCGTCACAAGTGGTGCCGTGACCAGGATCAACCCTGAGACAACCAAGTCACATATGGTGCCGTGGTGACCGAGGGATTTCAACCCTGAGAAGACCACGATCGACCGCCGTTGCTGAAAAATTCAGACAGAACTCAGAACGACCCGGGACAAAAGGAAAAGAAAGAACAGAATCGTCTGTAAGGTAGGACACCTTATTTTATTTCCCAACCTCGATTGTTGCTGCATAGACTGTCTTTCTCTGTAGACATGTCAGATTATGATTCGGATAGAGCAGTGGGGGGGTGAAGAAGAAGTAGGGCGGGGGTTGTCAGTGGATTTAAGGAAGCTGTTGGGTGGACCGAGGGTCCCAGTATTTGATGGCAGCGGGAAGGAGTTTAAAAACTGGCTGGCAATCCTCGAGAAGAGCCGAACCATCTACGAGCTCTCGGACCAAGAAACCCTGTATTTGGCATACGATGCCACAAAGGGAAAAGCGTCTGAGTTCGTGAGGGGGCTCTTGGAGAACCAACCCCGCTTGGCTTGGGAAGAAATAAAAAGACTACTGACCAAAGAATTCGCCGACGAAGGTACGGCCATAGAGGCCATGAGGGCCCTTTTAAAACTGACACAGCTACGGGATGAAACCCCGGGAGAATTAGGGGCCCGAGCGGGGAAGCTATCGTCATTGGCATTCCCCGAAGTGGTCAGGGTTAATGCGGTTATGCAGGCTCAACTGGCGGACCTGTATGTAGAGGCGCTGAACGACGAGCGTGTTCGTCACGACGTATTGAAAGAAGGACCGCTCAGACTGTCGGCAGCGATAGAGCTGGCCAGGGAGAGCCAGGGGGTGTGGGATAAAGTGAAGAGGTGTGGGAAGAAGCAGATACCAAGTCAGGAGGCTGGAAGAAGGGGGTAGGCGGAAGAACCCCGTGTGGAATCAGAGGGTTAAGGAAGAGGTGGATCGGGCAGAATTATGGGAGGAGGACCCCAATAGAAGGGCATGGTCGACCAGGCATGGCTTTTATAAGCCCACGCCGGGTCGATACGGGCTGGTCTGCTGGACCTGAGGACCAGGACCACAGGGCGGCGGAATGTCCGACGAAGTGGGGGTTGCCCCCAGACTTCAATCAGGACAGATGCACCAGGTGTGGTAAGAAAGGACACCTGGCCAAGTGGTGCGGGCTGAGGAAGGGTCCCCCACCGATATTAACAAAGAAGGCTGAGCCCAAGAGACCGGCCCAGGGAAAAGCCAGCGGGCCACCCCAGAATTAAGAGGGAGGGTGGCCCAGTTAAAAAGGAGAGAAATAAAAAATTGGACCAGTGGGTGGGCGAACCGCTTGAATAGAGGACGGTTCCCCCGAGGATAGACACAAGGCCAACCCAGTTAAAAAGGGAAAGAGCAAAATGTTGGACATGTGGTCGGGCGGGCCACTTTGCGGCAAGCTGTCCAGCAAGAAGGTGCTGGTTTTGCAGGAGGCCAGGACACCTGAAAAGAAACTGTATTCTTAGAAACGGCCATGGGAGACCGGGAGAGGTCCGGCCGGGGTCGCCCAGGTGCAGGGGGCGCAGAACTCCACCTCATAAAAAAAAAATGAAGGTGATTTATTACTACTGGCGCCTATGGCTGGGTTAACCCAAAGGTGGGGACCCAGGAAGAAGAAAGCTCAGGTGTTCTCTTCGCTAACGCAAGAGAGAGAACTATCCTGTAGAGCAGAGATAGGTGGTAGAGAGATGAGGGGCTTTGGTGGACACAGGAGCATCTGTGTCATTGATGAGAGAGGAGACATACAGGCGGGTGAAACGGAAGAGAAGGTTACGGGAAGCGGACATAGAGATCACGCAAGCAGATGGGGCCCCCCTGGAGATAAAAGGGATGGTGAGGCTCCCGGTGAGGATTGGGAGGGTGAAAAGCACCCAAAATTTTTACGTAACCCCCGACCTGTGTACAGAGGCAATCTTGGGAGAAGATTGGCTCCGGAGCCAGAAGGCCCAGATCGAGTTTAATCCTACTGTGTTGGTGGTGAACGGCGAGAGAACGCCATTGGGATGCCCACCAGAGGAAGAGATAACCATAGTGGTGGAGGAAGATGTAAAGTTACCTCCTAGGACCGCAGTGTCGGGAAAGGGTAGGCTAATGTCAGAAAAAAAAGGTACGGAGAGGACCTCTGCAGTTGGTCCCTGTAGAAGGAAAGGGCCTAGAAGATAACGAGGTAACCCTGTGCAGAAACGGTAGTGGAGGCAGCCGAGTTGGTGCCCATTATGATGGTGAACCAGGCCCAAAAGACTATCAAGGTTAGGAGAGGGGAGAAGATAGGGAGAGCGCTTCCCCTACGAACTCTGAATCGGGTGAGATTCGAGGAGGAACGAAGGAAGCTAGTAGAGCAAACAAAAGGAATCTTAGATGAGGATATATTAGCACCGGATGAATTTAGAACCAGAGTGGGGGGGTCTGTTAAGGAACAATCGAGATGTGGTGGCCCAGTCAGACAAGGAGCTAGGTCAGACCCACACAGTCGAAATGAAAATCGACACCGGAGACCACCCCCTGTGAAATTAAAACCCTACCGAACACCTATACATAAAAAGACCCCTTGTAGAAGAGGCAGTAGAGGAAATGTTGAAGCTGGGATGATCGAAAGATCGATCTCTCCTTGGAGCTTCCCAATAGTAATAGTAGGTAAGAAAGATGGCGGCCACCGTTTCTGTGTAGATTTTAGAAAGCTGAATTCTATATCGAAGCCGTTGGCGGTGCCATTGCCATTGATAGACGACATTTTGGCATTATTAGGGAAGGCAAAGTACTTCTCTACGTTGGACTTGAGGTCCGGGTATTGGCAGGTAGCCCTGGATGAGGCTGACAAGGAGAAGGCCGCATTCGCGTGTCACCTGGGACTGTTTCAGTTCAGAGTGATGCCATTCGGTTTAGCTAATGCCCCGGAGTCTTCCAACAGCTAATGTCAATAGTGTTAGGAGGATACGAGAGCTTTGCCATGGCGTATTTAGA